GGGCGCGCCCCCGGCCCAGCCTCCCAGGGCGGGCCCGGCCGGCGGCTTCTCCCGCTGCCCGCGCCCGGCTCGAGCGTGCCCGAACTTGCGGGCAGCAGTGCGCGTTTGGGTTCCTGGCTGATAGGATCTGGCGCTTCTGTACTTTGCAGAGGCGGCTCCTTCGCCCAGACGCTTTTGTCTGCGATGGTCTTGATAGGGGACCCCTCGGGCAGAGGCAGAGCTGCAGTTGTTCGGGGTCCTGGAGAAGGGGGCCCCTCGGGCCTTTCGCTGCCTGCTGCTTGGAAGCCGGCCCTCTTGTCCTTTCTCTCTGAGCCCCCTCCCCGCGGTCAAGTCTGGCCAAGCAGCCTGCTTGGTGGGAGGGGCGGGGCCGGAGGGTGGGCTCGGATCCCCACCTGCGCGCACCCTTGGTGCCCGGGGCGCGTACACCCTGGCCGGGCCTTTGGGGAGACAAGTCCCGCGGTTCCTGTACCAGCGCCCCTGCCGACTTGGGGGATCCTCTGGTGTAGGGTTTCCAGGACATCCGCCGAAGAAGGGGGTTGGGGGTTTCGAAGCTGCAGTGAGTTGCAGGATTTCATTCTCATCTTCAGTCTTACAGATTTTCTATGAACCTCGTTTCCAGTAAGTTCGCACCCTTCCCCCCAGTGCTGATCCCGTGGTCCTCACCCCCACCCATCCGCTCTTTAGCCTGGCAGAGCGCCCCCACCCCCCAAATCAAATGTGCCCGCTGAGTCCTGTGGGAGAAGAACCCGCAGGCATGAGTAGGAGCTCCACATATTGCCCATTTCTTTAGCTCAGTGGGAACGGGCTTTTTGAGCTCATTGTCCACTACAATAGCAGTGTGGTGTTTCATTTTTAAAAATTTTTCTTTTGAGATCATCATAGATTCACAGGCTGTTGTGGAATAAAATACAGAGACTCCTCCAAGTGACTTCTTGTAGCCAGTGTCACATCCAGGACCTGAGCGGACCCGTTGGCACGTGTGGAGGTGGTGTGCACATTCCTGTCACCACCAGCACGGTCACAAGGTCCCTCCTGCTGCCCCTTCACATGGCTACTTGATTCTACGTGTGCACTGAGTGACACTAACGCTAATGCCATTCCTGGATTGCACTAGCCACGTTCCCCATGCTCAGTCCCACGGGCAGGGCCAGAGGGGGGCGCTGTCTGGTGTACAGGATCCCTCTGGAGGCAATGCCCTCCCAAAGCTCTTACCCAGCTCTTCTGGACTGCCTGTCCATGCAGGCTGCTGGGGGTTGGAGAGTAAGGGTCTGTCTTAGCCTCTCCTTGGGGACTGGGGTGTGAGTGTGCTGGCAGCCCAGTTGGGTTCATCCTGCCTCCCTGATCCTGAGTTCAAGTTCAGATGCAGTGAATGCTCCCCTGGAGGTGAGTGGCAGAGCCAGAGGTTTGGTTGAATTTGGGAGCACTCCTGGAAGGACCATACCAAGTGGGCCCCACTAGGCTGGCTGGTTCTACAGCCCCCGCCCCTTTCAGGGGATGGCCTCACCTTGCTGTTTGTACAGAGGCTCCACGGGGCTCTTCCCTCTGCGTTCACCCTCCCACTGACCCTCTCAGTAAATGTTTGCTCTCATGGAATCCATCTCTGCAGGAGCCTTTACTTCTGCTGTCAAAGTACAGGAGGCAGAACTCTATGTCAGTGATGTCTTTGTTAATTTTTTAAATCCTCACCGAGGATATTTTTTCTATTGATTTTAAAGAGAGAGGGAAAGACAGAGAGAAACATTTATGTGAGAGAAACACATTGATTGGTTGCCTCCTGCGCGCACCTTGGGCCAGGGAGGAACCTGCAACAGAGGTGCCTGCCCTTGATCGGAATTGAACCCAGGACCTTTTGGTCCACAGGCCGACGCTCTATCCACTGAGCCAAACCACTAAGGCAGTGATGACTTTAACCAAAATGCAGCAGCACCTTAACACCTGGGTTTGTATGTGAGGAAACTGGTGCCAGGGGAGCTGAATCCAGATGATTCTGCCACCTACCACCTTGTGAGCTTTCATGCAAGTCGTTTAACTTTTCTGAGCCTCAGTTATTCATCTGTGAAATGGGCATGGTACCTGCTCTGTTACCTCCTCAGACCCAGTGAGGCGATGCATGAGAAAGCACTTTGAAAACTGCACAGCACCCACGTTGTACGAGTTAAGTCCGCAGGTCAGGATTCTGTTGCATTTCAGGATATTGGGTCTGAAAACCATTCCTGATCCACTCAAAATAGTTGAGGTCAGCCACCTGTCACAGCTGGTCAATTCCCAGAGCTTTGGGGACATTATTTCTTGACCTGGTGGCTCTCCCCCATCATGTAGCCTCTTACACTTCCCCAGACATTTCTGCCTTAGTACTTGTGATTCCCCAGTTCTGGCTGTGGGGCCACTGTTTTTCCGCTTACTTGGGAGGGAGGGGCCTTGCAGGTATTTGGAGGAGCAAGTCATGGCCCACCAGAGGGGTAGCAAGAAAGCCAGTGCTGGGAGAGTCTGCAGGGGACAAAGCAATTGGTGATGAGTTGTCATTTGAGGAGAAGATAGGAAGCAACAGAGTACCATGGAGAACTCTCAACGGTGCCTTTCCCTGTAGCCTGAGAAAGCGAAGGAACACAGTTATGCTATCTCAGCAGGGTGCTGCACCCTCACCCCAACCTCAGGTCAAGGTGTGGAACATTCCAGCATCCAGGAAGTCCCCTGCTTAGGAGCTGTCCCTAAAAGTCTGGGTCCACCAGCCATTCATTTGTTTATTCACAGCTGCTGTGTGCCAGACCTGGGGTTGGAGCCCCATTTTGGGTCGCACAATGGTCTCATCCATGTTCCCTGGCCCCACCCAAAATGCTGTCTCTGAGTCTTCTCTGTCCTGAAGACCCTCCTATAAGCCCATCCCATGTTCCCACCCAGCAGGCAGTCTCCTCTGTCCTCTGACCCCTCTTTGGCGCTTCCTCGTCCCAGGGCCCTGGTCACAGTGCTCGCACAGGGGTACTTTTCAGAGTAGGGTCGGAGGACCATGTTTACACTCACAGGGCGTATCTACTGTGTTTGGGGGAGAATAACACTACGGGAGGCTTTAATACAGTTTTCACTAACTTGTTTAACTAATGTTGGAGGCCTTTTTGGAATATAAACAAATACATTTGTCCTTACAGACCTTATTAGGCAGGGGTGGGGAGTGGGTGGGCGGGTTAATTTTCTGGTCCAAAGATGAGCCACTGCTTAGGGCTGCTGCACGGCCTTCTGACCCTTTATATCCAGAAAGTGTGCATTCGTCTTTGCTTTACAGAATCAGGATTGTATTTTGTAGGCATGTTATACTTTCCCTCTCCAACTTCGTGGTGTATATTGCAAATGTTTTCTCCTGTCATAAATATTTTTAGAAAACATATTTTTAAAATGACTACATACTATTTTCCATCTTACGTTTAAACCATAATTTAATCAATATCGTATTTCCAATTTTTTTCTATAATAAACGATGCTGTGAATAACATCTTTATATTTAAATCTTTATATAAATATATAAAGAATCCTGATTCTGTTAAATCATTTCAGAACTCTCATTATTTTTGAGGACAAATTCCTAGAAGTGGAATTGCTGGGTGAAGGCTTTGGATACATATTGCTAAGTTTTCTTATAGAAAGTTATATGCCCTGTTTCATCCCTCCCCGTCCCTCCAAAACTCTGTTTTCTTATTCTCTCCCAGGTAGATTAGTGAAACACTGTCCTGTGGTTTTAATTTGTGTCTTAGGTGTTAGTGAACTGAAACTTGTTACATCTGTTGGCTGTTTGTAGGTCTGTTTCTTCCCTGCACTTTTCTTCTGTTACTCTTCTTGTTTTCATTGGGCTTTGGAGCTGCTTGTCCATTCAGTGCCAGAGGGGCTGGGGTGATAGTGTTGTAAGACGGTGTGTCCCCTGGTCCCCACATCTTGCCTCTGGCTGAGGGTGCTGGGTGCCTGGCCTGGCCTGCAGGGACACACCCTTCTGTCTGTTGCGCTGGTTCCTGGCCAGGCTCCCCACGGGTGCTGGGCCCTTGCCTTCCGAGGGCCCGTTGAGAACCGCCTGACACAGTTTGACTCACCTGTGTGTCAGCTGCACCCTTATAAGGTTCCGGTTTTGCTGTATCTGTGCATGCCACGTTCAAACAGGTTTGGGAACTTGATGTGGGACGTTGCACCTAGAGGAGGCTCTCAGGGACCCGGGTCGGGATGTCAGTGTGTGGGCACTGCTGGTGTCAGTGACAAGCTTGGGAACAATAGAAAGCCCTACGGACCTTCCTGGGTTCAAGCCCTTGCCGGGGACCCATGGCATTTCAGACAGGGGATTCTCCCCACTCCAGGGAAGGGAGGAGTGTCAGGGGTCGAAAGATGCAGCCGGTCAAGGTGTCAGACTCTCTACCATTTGTGAATCAGCAAAAAGGGGAGGCATCCTGACTTCTCCCCTGATAGGGTCCCCTGGGCTTTTAGAGACTAGAAAGAGAGGAGCCTGGAGTGAGGACAGCAGCAGCCCCACGACGACGCAGATGGGTCAGGGTCCTGAGGGTCAGGTGTCACACTTGTTCAGCCGGCTCTTGTCAG